TTTGTATATCTTCCAAAGAGAAGCCTTTGGAATTGTGAAGAATCTTCTTCCTATATTCTTTTCAAGAACCAGGAAGTTTAGCAATAATTGCTCCCACTTGGAAAGTTTCGGAAAGTTCGATTTTCACCGCTTTCAGTTTGATTACAATTATTTGTAACTCATGTACTTGATGCAATAATGGTATATTATCCAAAAATTTGAAATCAAAATACTTAGATATTAAGAACTTTTTGGTACCTTCCTCCTCGGCTTTGTATTTGCTTTCTAACGCGTATCAGATTTTTTTTGCCAATGTAGTATTGGTGTAGAGATCATAGAGGCGATCGGTTAATGCATATAGGATATGGCCACGACATATCAATTCGTCCTCTTCCCGTTTCTTCCTTTTTACACAAATTTCTTCAGTATCCTTATCAGTTGCATCGGGAATAGGCTCCAATTTTGGATCAAGCACATAGAAGATTTTCAAGGCCTTTAATAGAAATGTAAGTTTGTCTTGCCATCTTGTGAAATTTTGTACCATCGAATCTGTCCAAACGTACCAGGTCTTGATTTATCATTTTGATAGTAGCAAGTGTAGATTCCGTCTCCATAGCAATAATAGTAACAAATAACGTTTGAGATTGTTGGAAATAATAATAGCAATGGAAAAGAAAATTATAAAAGTATATCAATGTAGGCTTGAACACGAAAGTAATCTCGCTGTCCTCAAACATTATTTGCCTCCTTTCCAATGCTTTTTAAGGATTTTTGGCAAATAGTTTGTAGGATTAAACAAGCCTTGACAAGAAGAACACAAAAAAATAAAGGTGTTTCTTCACAATGAACAAGTGAAAATGGAAGGATTATGTGATAAATTTTCTCAATATTGGAAGTGTATTTGGGGATAAATTTTAATGGAACTCAATATATTTTTCTTGCACTTGCATCACCTATTTATAGGTTTTGGCAAGATTTTCATGAAATGGTGCAAAAAAATGGTGAAAAGCTACCAATATCAAATAAAAAACGATCAAAAAACTAACGGTTAGTTTTTTGTAACAATGCGACCGCATACAGCCTCCACGGCCCTCCCATTCTCGGGAGGGCCTCATGCGACCGCATGGGCTTGATCCATGTGGTCGCATGGTTAAGCCTCTTTTTTTTTTTTCCTTTTGATTTTGAACAACAAACAAATAAATTCCCAACAACCAACGCCTAAACTTGGCTGTTTGAGTTGGCTTTGTAATCGTGTCTGCTATTTTATCTATTGTTGGAATCCTTTTAACTTCATGGCACCCACTCTGTGCTAAGTGCATGATAATATCTAAGTGTTTGGTCCTTTCATGGTACATCTGATTTTTGATAAGATGATGACTGTCCCAATAGACTGCTATTTATTTTGTTTGTTTACCCAACTCACCAACCAATCCACAAACCATAATAGCATCTTTTATTGCTGCATTATTTTCTAACTTAGTGGCACACAAAAAAAAAAAAAAAAAAAAAAAAACAAAAATTAAAAAAAAAAAAAAAAAAAAAGGCAGCAATTGATTACCCCAACGTGATAGTACATTCAAAAGGGTGAAAATAGAACTTGTTAAGGACCTTCTCTTATCTAGATATTCTAGCATTATCTGAACTTACATATTCAATGACACTTCTCACAATGTCGTTGTATTTCCCATAAATGAAGCCAACGCGTTAATATTATTCTAGGTTTTTTCATATATACTGCTTCATAGAATCCATCGTGTGAGATATCTGGCCAGTGCAAACCATGACGTAGATAATTCTACAAGCAACACTAGCTATGTAACATTGGACATGGGTTCTGCCATCTTGTGAGTCTGTAGTGACAGTGTTGCTGAAAGTTCAAATGAGCTACTAGTGGAGTACGGGTAGGTTTTGAGTTTTGCGTACTAAAGCATTGCAACATCTTTTCTTGTCTGCTTGATATATGTTTGTTTTCATCTTTTGTTTTGCAACTCCTATACCTTTCATTTGAAGCTCCCACTTAATTTAGCTTTTAAACCACTTGAGTAGTCATCTATAAATGTTATCATGTAGCTAGCGCCGTGAGAAGCAACACGACAAGGACCTTATAAATCTGAATGCATATACATTATGCTTCTCTAGAACCCGTTTCTACTCACGTCTGTATGTATTGATTTCTGATGGTGGGGTGGTTTGGTGAAGGATGCACATCTGGAGCTGGTGCATAGAGGTGGTTGGGGGGGGGGGGCATAAGATCACATGAGTAATTGAAACATGCCCTTTTTTTTTCTGCTATGGAGAAAAAGAAAGTTGGTATAATCTCACAAACTGACAGAAAAAACATTGGAATTTGTAAAATACCTGGTAGAGCCATCTAATGTGTCCTTGATCTTGTATAATAGTAGTATTAAACCTCAACCTACATTGTTTCACAAAACCTTAGTGTTGACTGAAATCTAATTTCCCAGTTCTTTGTCCGCAAAGCAGTCCTTGGTCATTGAACTGAATAATACTTTTTGATTGATCCAGTATTCCACAATTTTGTGATGTAAGAGTTACACATTGATGATGCTGGAGCTGCATCTATAACTGTGGGAGCTAGGTTCTTCCTCTTTTCTTTTTCTTTCTTTCTTTCCTTCTTTTTTTCATTTTTTTTTCTTTTTTTTTTTTTTTGAGAGAGAAGTGAAGGGGAGTGAGGTACCAATCCTTGAAGCCTTGAGTTCAAAGGGTGGTCCGTGGAAACAACAATCCTTAACTGACTAGGACTAGGTGAATTGGAAGCTAGTTTCTTTCTTTTCATCACCACCTTTTGCTGCTGATATAATTCACCTTCAGCTTTAAAGCTATTACTAGTAGAGTTGAGAGTACTCTAGGACAGCAAGTGCTTCTTCATTTCTAGAGCATATATGACATCTGCCAATGTTCCATTCTTAAAAGGCATCTTAATCTTTATTAGGTCAATAGCAATTGCATCATTTTCTGTAAGGACCATGTCTCCATCTATATTTGCCATACACTAATCTTAATTAGGACATGAGATATAAGTACCCAAAATCAAGAATGCACTAGTTACATGAGTTGCTAACAAAGACTGAATGGTCATTTGCATCATCTCCATGTTCTATAGTTATATCTCCTGGATCTACAGGCTTTTCTTTTTGTAGATTTGCGGGCCTAGCATTTCCTTCCATCTTGCTCTTTGGGAGATGTTTCTTGAAGTTCCGTTATTTGTAAAAGTGAAAACATTTTTAATGTTGTACTTTATATTTTGAGCTAGATCTTCCTTTACTGCCTTCAGCTCTGCACCATAATCATCATGTTCTTCCTTGTGACAGTTGTAACCAAACTCTCCTAGAACCTTCATTTCTATTGTCAGAGTATAGAGCTGCCTTTACTTTTTTCACAGTAAGATTTCAAGACAAAATATTAGCGTCAATAAAATGCTCCTAAGTATTTGGCAGAAAACACAAGTAGAATGGCCTGGTCTTCATCAACTCTAACTTCTTTAGTTCTTTAACCCTGAGGATAATTTTGTTAAAATCATCCAACTGTTGCTTGATGGGTTTACCTTCTTGCATTTAAAGTGTCAGTAATTTTTTCTCAATTATATAGCTGGTTAGTGAGCGATTGGTTGTGTAAATTCCTCGCTTCAACCATAAATTTGCCGACAGTATCTTCTTCATGAATTTCATGCTAAACTTCATCACCCGAGTATCATTGTCTAATAGAAATTCTGGCAGAAGTTTTGATCGTTTGATGTATGATCAGCATCTTCACCTGTCATAGAAATTTCTACGCTTTGCTAAGCCTTGATGTACAGGCAGAATCTGAATCTCAACTTGCTATAGACTGCAGTCTTCTTCTCCATTAATTCTCTCCGCATCAAATCTATAGTAGCCATAGCTCCATATGAGTTTGTTAAGAGTAGAACGGCGATATGAAGAAACTAAATGGAAAAGATGTCTATGGTCGTAGAGCAGCGAGAAAGTTTAATTATTAGGAAGTGATTTTTTCCTAAGCTATTGGCAAACACCACTCACCACCCAGAACCATATCACACTCACCAGAAACCTAAGTACCCTTTTCTAAAGAAAATAACAAAGATAACAAAATACTAGAGGCTGAAGACTAAAAATCACAAGCAGGACTTCCCTTTGTAGTTGGGCACGTCTCAAATGGAAAAGGAGGCTAATCATGGCAGAAAGCAGAGGATGAGATATGGTGAAGAAGCTGGCATCGTGCCTTCGGAATTGCTCCAAGGCTTAATTTGCTATATACATGTCCCATTTTTGGCCACACGTGTGGCTGTTCTTTTAGCCACATGCAATCTGCTCAATGTGATGATTTGACAGATCTTAGCTCTTAATAGAATATTAAGTCCATCTGGATGATATTTGAAGGTGCATATCTTTTATTTTGAATTTATTATCTATATGATGCTGCATAGTTGATGGCTTATTTTAGGAAATTGTGTGACTTTTACAATATGGTTGTGAATCATGTTACTAAGCTAGGTAGCTTTCATGGGAAAAAAAATTATGTGAGTAGTTTCTATTAGTAGCATTGCTCATGTAATGGTTCCTTTGTGTCGCGAAAAATCACCAAATAATACTATGCACAGATAGACTGATCCTTTGTGTTGTGAAAAAATCACCAAATAATAATACGCAGGGACTAAATCTTCTCCCATAATGTAATGAAGGATTTTTTTTATCAAATTCTAACAAATTCATAATAACATTGCTGATCCAAGCAGTTAAGATAGGAAAATAAGCCCCCGTTTGGTGCACATTATTTGAGAAAATAATACATTTTTTCCATCAAATCAGCCTACAATATTTGACTTCAACACTCTAAGGTAGGACTCATGATGTGATGTTTAAAATGCATTTTTGTTGGAAAAATGTGGAACAAACGGCCCCTAAATCCATCATAACAGCCCTGCTGTTTCTATTCTTTTTTCCTCCCTCTGCATTGAAAAGAAATTGGTGCACATGCTAATCTCGCATATCTTATTACTGCAGAAAGTTTCAGCCCCAATTGAATTGAAGCTCAATAATGAAGAGATAATTGAGTTTGGCGAAGGTGCACTAGTGGAAGTAAGCAGCGATGAAGATGGTTTTGAAGGTGCTTGGTTTGCCGCAACTGTGATAAAAAAGCTAGATGAAAGAAAATATCTAATCGAGTATCAGAACCTCAGAAATGATGATGATACAGAATTCGTAAAAGAAGAGGTTGATACTCTGCATATACGGCCATGTCCACCTGAAGTTGGACAAATTGACTCTTTTGAAGTCCTGGATGAGGTGGATGCTCTGTATAACGATGGATGGTGGGTGGGTGTGATTTCCAAAGTATTTAAAGGCAATAAGTACACTGTGTACTTCAGGGGCACCAATGAGAATTTAAAGTTTAAACACTCCGACTTGCGGCGGCATCAGGAATGGATAAATGGCAAATGGGTGATAGCCTCGTCACAGGTATGATGCTGACAACATTTGATTGATGTCCCTTAGACATACTCCATTTGTGAATGTTTCTGACTTGGTCGACTGGTTTTTCTGCTAGGATCTGAAGTCGTAATGTCCAAAGAAATGCAGGTTCCAGACGGCTGAATAACTTGACATGTATCCTTTCCAGATGGTGTATATCCCTGCTCCCTAGATGAAGTATTCATTGTACTGCATCAAATTTATGGTTAAGAAGGTTACTAGGTTAGGAACAATGTTTTCTTGGCTTCTCTTTGCTACTGGTGTTATGGTGCCTTTGGAATTCTTTGCTTAAGTAGGGAATAACTTCTGAATTAGAAATTTTTAGCGTGCAAGAACAAACACGAGTAGTGCTACTTTTTACTATTTTAATTTGGGATGCATATTTTTGTTTACACCTCCTCGATTTCCACTGCTGAGTTCACTTCACTGTTCTCTTCAACTCCCTTTGCTGCTTATCTTTCACCTCTTCGATCTCAAAAGCTGACACCAGAAAATACTTTGACTACCTTGCTGGACTCATAAAGGTAATTTCTCCGGTGGCTGGGGTCGTCCACATATTTCAGAGTGTGATCCATAATAAAATTTCTCTCGTCTTCACCCCGGTTAGTTTCTTGATCTTTTTCGGCTCAACATATGATGTGACCTCAGGCGCATACTGCATAAGGTTCCCAATCTTCTCGAACCTGTGCTCGGTCCTCCTCTTTTGTTTCAGCCAATCAAAGCCCGTTTCTTCCACATAGTCGCATTCTTCTATGTTATGTCAAGGCAGGATTCCATTTGGCAAGTCAACTTCTGTGACCAAGAACTTTGATTTTACTTTGACAGATACTGTTTCCATGGTAAATTTCGGGTGCACTTGCTCTAATTGCTTTTCGGGCTCGCGTCAATTCTAAACCAGTGAAATGGATATTTGGAACCTATTTTTAGATATACAGATTTTTTGAGATTCACGAGTGTAATGCCCTGAAAATTTTAGAATAAAATTTATTTATTTTATATATTATATATTTACATTTTTTTAAGTTGATGACTAAAATGAAAAATGTTTTAAATTCCTATTTTATTTGATCCAAATAATTAGATATTGTTAGAGCGAGATTTAGTATATCGATATTAGACTCATTTTATAGATTGTAATTAATTAGAAGTCTTTGACTCGAAAAAAAGTTATTTTGGATAAGAATACATTAAGTTAGACTCAATTGAAAGAAAATAGAATAAGTAGAACTTTATTTAAACTATAATTCAATTCATTTTCTCTCTTCAAAAGAACATGGGTGAGTATTGAATTTTAATATTATTTTTAGTTTAATATCAACCTATTTTTAATTTAATATGATAGATAGTATAATATTTGGATAACTAAGAATTTATTATTAAAATATAATTCAAATACCTAAATTAGGAATTATCCAATAGGGTACATGTTTTTTAGTGTAACTCTACCAGTTTTTATTACTATAAATACTATACTTGAATTTCATAATTCACACCCCAAAAGTTATACACACGTAAGAGAGAGAGAGAGAGAGAATACTTTTTGAAACTAGAAGACAAGAAATCATTTTGCAACTCTTAAATAAATGAGGTAAGATATATGTTCAAGTTATTTTCGTTTCTATATGCTTTTATATGCAATTAAATATGCATGGATTGCTAGTGAATCTTCGGGTTCTATAAAAAGAGAAATGAAATCCTGCGAGATATAAGATGACTTAAGATGAGTGTCGCTTGGTTATCGATATACTCCATAAGAGCAAAGCGGTATGAAATGTAGATTTTATTGTTATATATATCTGTATATAAAAACTGCACGTATCTTACTGGGTGTTTTCGAATACTCACTCTTACAAATTTTTACAGATTAGTTCGGGTCGATTGGAATTGTGGTGGGATGATGATGCGGACTACCAAATGAATCAAAGAAAGGAAAAAGAAATTTAACATTTAATTTGTTCTTTTTTTATGTCTCTAAATTGTTTGTTAGTTTTATTTGGTCAAAGGCTCGTTTGTTTATTTTAAATTGATATTTATGGTTGAAAATAAAGAATTTTCTTTATTGAAAAATCGTTCCGCAATTATTATAAAGGAAATTGAGTTTTTCGTAACACTCCAGCATTTATAAAATTTGGAGCATTACAACGAGTACTATTTATTTACAATTCATTTCTATCTATTTATAATTTAAATTGATCTTAAACAACTACCGAACATGACTTGTGTACAAATGGACACTTATAATCCAACCTCCAATTAGTCAGGCCCAATTGTATCTTGGCCTGTTGGGTTCAATTTATATTGATATAGGCCCACGGCAGATGGCTTTTTTCTTTCACAAGACCTTGGACGATTGTCCTACCCTTGGTCGCTTACGAGTTTACGTCCATCGGATACGGTTTCCTTTTGATTGATCCCTTGTAGCCGTTACCCAAATTCATGCAAGTTTGCCCGCACCCCATAAAATTGACTTGATGAGGAATTCATTCTCGCAAACAAACACAATCTTTAGGAGCACTCCTTGAGGCATATCCAGGCAGATATTTGCCCACTTCTATGCGATAAGTAAAGAGGGAGGCTCACTCAATTTGGATAGATTCTTCGTGTGGGGGATTGATCGCGATGCGACTTTTCTCTTTTAACATTTCGCTTCGGTTCTAAATTATGGGATCATTTTCTATCAGATAGGAATGACTGTAGCACAAAATTTACTAGTAAGTAATTGTCCCATAAATCCTATATCTATTTATACAAAGTAGAGATTATGTAATGAAGGGAATTATTATTTGTACAAATGATGCTTTGAACGTGGAACGAACATGAAGAAATTAACAATACTTGTTTATCTTTTGAGTTATGTCGGATCGATCGCTCAAGACCTTTGGTCTCTACCCGGACCCGATAAAAAAAAAGGGATCACTTCATATGAATTAATTGAGAATGATTCTGATCTAATTCATAGCCTATTAGAAGTAGGAGACACTCTGGTGGAATCTTAACGAACAGAAAAAGATTGTTGTCAATTTGAAAATGATTGAGTGATATTGCTTCTTCGGCCAATATTGCGCTTCTAAATTAGAAGCCTTATAAGAAGTTCAACAGTCGATCCCTATAGAATATCCAAAAGTAAAATTGGGTTTCAAAAGACTATTTTACCCTGTCAAGTGTATTTTCTTCCTTGGTTCACATTTTCTCTCATGGAGTGCTGATTTCATGCCTCATCACAAATGAATTATTTAGCAAACACCTACACAAGAGATAGAAAGTCAAATATGGTAGCTTGATGTGATGTATAACAATCATATTTTTCATTTTAATGAGGAAGAAATGAGAACCAAACAGGGGCTAAATATATAAGTTATATTCATTCATATGTCGTAAAATTACTAATGGAACATTCACTTCACTCTAGAGAGTTAGGACTAGTAACATGATTCCCAAAAACATCAAGGTATAATGTCTTCCACTTTGGATTAAGACTAACAATTTAGTAGGTTTTGACAAAAGTTAATATAATAGAATATGTGGTTAAAAAGTTACAAAAGTGATGATCCTACAAAACATATGGTTAGAATAAATTTGAAAAAAAATGAGTTTTAATAAATCGGGACCGAACGTTCATGATCTACCTTCGTATAAATTCTTTCGACGATCATCATGTTCTCTACTTTTAGAAGATACTCTTCTGACGTTTCAACCTACTATGAAAAATAAAGAATTACAAATAGGCAGACAAAGAGGATCAAATTCCTGAAGGAGCCCCTCGGTAGCACGTCCTTGTCCACTCTTCAACTTGAAGCTGAGTAAACAATTCAGCTCGAATACTCAACTGAATATACTAATGACATGTTCAATAAGTTCGATTGAACTATATAAAACAAGTCGGTAGTAAATTTAGCAGGAATCAGTGTGGTTTAGTATCACACCGTTGAAATCAAGATTCAATCATGATATCACAGGGCCGACCACAAATACATATATTAACCAGTAACGAAAACAATATCATTAATCTTCAAGAAGACAATAGTATCAGTTTGTTTCCATCTCCTTTATAATTACCCAATGGCACCAGTAACTTGGGACAATGTACACTGAAGTTGGCTTAGCTTCTAAAGACATGATACGAAGAAAATATTGAACTTAGGACAACTAAAATCAACTCACCAGTGCAAAGCTTTTGTTGGTTATAACTCTTTCCAAACTCCAGTTATCAACCCCTTCTCGACTCATCATCTTGCACAGAATTTGTAGGATTGCATCCATTTAGGAACTTGATTGTTGTCAGTTTCACCATTGATTTGTCCATTCTGAACAAATTTCCTAGATCCTGAGAAGTCATTGAATGTCAAAAAGGCTAGAGAAACCATATGATGAAAGAACAACTTATGAATATTCTCTCAGAAAAATACAATCAGGATAATCAAAATTCAATAGATGGTGCATATAGGCTAAAAAAGTCAACTATGAATGTATCCTGCTAATTTTTTCAGCAGTGAAACAAGTGATAAATGAAAACATAATAGAGTTACACGTCTGTTAATTTCATATAACAACACTAAACCTGATCTAAAATTCTTCGTGCGTGTCACAGGGCTCTTGTAAGCAGGAATTTCTAATCATTGGACTCATCAGAAGTATGAGTCGGCATTTCATTTATGTAGGAAACATCATTGACGCATTGTCATAAACTTTAGGTTCGTCCAGTTGTAAAAACAGCAGCATGTACTCAACTCCATTGATCACGTCATACAACATCAGCCCAATTTGTCCTCCAACCCAGCTGCCCAGATGACTTCCGACCAAATAACCAAACCGCCCAAATCTTTGCTCTCCAACGTAGCCCACAGAGTAGGTGCCAAATAATGTCCCCATGCCCCGAAGGAACCCTTCTGTTATTGTACCCCCGTAGTAAAAGACTTCAAAAAAATCCCATCCTGAAGAAACGATGGGACCTATGATGCGCTTGGCTTTCTGAGTAGCCAGTTTTGCTGCTTTAGCTCCTTCTTTCTGGGCTAGTTTGACTGCATCTTTGGTAGGCATGCCTTGTGTTAATGCATCAGATAGAGCTGTCTCAATTGCCTTGTTCCTCACACTCTCTACATGGATAGATCTGATGTTGTAGACATAAAGTTTTACACCCTCCTTCGCCATGCATGAAAGGGTTCCATAACCCCCATCAAAACAGCTACTTTTGGATGCAGCCTCTCCACCAACCAATTCCCTACATTTTTCAGCTATAAAAGCAGGAAAATGTAAAAATATGATTTAACTAAATGCTAGAGAAAAGAAGACAGTAAGAGAAAGAAGTACTGATTACGTAGCAAAAAGAAATGGGGAAACTGTAAATAGATCTGATACCATTTTCCTCTATTCGCATGTCTTTTTTAGTAGGATTTTCTAGAAGTACTGTCATTAGCAATTGATACATGATTACTTCAAGAATGCATATGCTGAAAAGTAAGTCATTCAAAGCATACCCAATAATGAACACTTACAACCTACAGAATACTACAAAGAAATACCTGCAGAGTAAACAAAGAATCAATTAGTTTAAACTTAAGGAAGAATGTTGCTTCATATGTATTGATGTTTTCCTTGTGCATAAATAGCACTGTTATTATCCATATCCGTATTATTATACAAAATAACTCTGTTATTATCCATATCCATACATTATAAAATTGGCATTTCACGTACACAGTCTTGGTTCTACTTAACCTAAAAACCTTCAGATTCTGAAGCACTACTATAAAGTTCTAACTTAAAATTTAACTAACCCCTTTTCATTCTCACAACTTAACCTATATATTGATGAATAACATAATACACTAAGGAGACTCATAGAATATACTATGATTCACTTAACAAGTCTTATTGATGGATTGATGAAGATACTGTATGAAATTCGATATGATACTTTCCAAGTTTAGGCACTTATTTTAAAATCATATTTTCTCCCTCTAATTACTCTTTATTTTCTCCCCTTTCTTCTCCTTCTCTTTCCCCTTCTTCTACAAGTCCCATTCTTGTTCATTGCATTCTATGTCACTTACATTTCACACCTTTATGTTCTCAAATGACGATAGCTGGAAAAATATCTAAATTTTTTAAAAGCATGCTTTTAAAACATAGATATATCCTCAATAGATATAACTATATTTAAAAGTTGAATCACATCACGTGTTATCTCTTTCAATGAACAATGATGTTATTTCTTTGCAATATGTTTGCACTCTTAGAAAAATTTGATCGGCTACAATTTTTTTCCAATTAAGTCATGAAATAAATCATTTTATTGTTTCCAAACACAAAAAAGTAACAAATCATTTGAGACTTGCATAAATTTAAGTACACTAAATGAACTGAAAATTAACCCACAAAATACCAAGATAAATGAGCAAAAATATTGAAGTTACTTACCAGTGAATTTGAGGGTAATTACTCCAACAACGAAAAGCAAAAGCTGAACTGTCTTCTTCTCAAGAATCGTCATGACGATGGACTATTACAAATTAATTCATAATTTTTTTGAGTAAAACCCTAATTATAATGAGCTTGAATAGGCTTAAATTTTGATATCTAACAATTTTTTTACACAGAAACACGGATTCCAGCTACGTTTCAGAGCGGGCTTTTGTTTACTTCTGTTTCTCCCGGTCAGCTGAGAACCAATCACAACAGAAGCAGAAGCACAAGGCAGCATTTTCGTTCCCTCCAAAAATAGCGCATTTGGTGCCTAACCTTTTCTCTTCGTACGTTTTTGGTCCCTAATCTTTAAATTTTAGCAGAGACGAAGGAAACCTATGCCTCTATATGTTCAAACGGTCTTTTTGAACCGATTCCAATAAAAAATGCCATTCGTTATGTGTGTAGAGTCTATAGACTTCGCATTCTATTTATTTCTTTTCTTGCCGAGACATATATTTGTAAGAATAAAGGAATGTGAAGTTTAAGCACAAAATAAAGGCACCTTTATTTGGAATTAGTCTGTGTTGAACGTGCGTTTATGTTATTCTAAGATATTTTAGATATTTTACAAGTGTGGTAAAAGTAGAGTTCAAGGATGATCATTAATTAAAGGATTAATAGCTAAAAAGCTCCCCCACAGACATTTTCACTTGCGATCTATCTATTGAAAATCGCTTGAAAGCGCATACTAGAAACTTTTTTTTGCGAAAAATTTCCGTGCAGTTGAGATCCTTCAAACTTGTCTTTAAATCGTAGTAAAAAAGAAAAAAAAAAAAAAAAAAAAAAAAAGGAAAAAAAAAAAAAAAAAAAAAAAAAAAAAAAAAAAAAAAAAAAAAAAAAAAAAAAAAAAGAAAGAAAAAAGGAGAAAATGGATAAATTAAATGAATTATTTATTATTTTCTCTTTAATAAAACTCGTCCAAAACTAGTATGGGGTTTTGTGTATGACGAACAAGGGTTCAATTTTCGACAAAAAAATCGCACGAACAATCATAAGCAGAGTTCTCACAAAATAATCAGGCATCTCCACCCCCATTCTCTCTCAATTTGTCATCAAAATCATTCATAGTTTTTGCATTCTCTGAAACCCTCTCAAAAACCATCTCCCTCCCTTCACTTCACAACGGCAAGTTGGCAGCAAAACACCGACAGACTCGAATTAGAGGGTTTTCTACCTTTCGAACTAACTCACGGCTTAGAGCGAGAAGATGGGGAAGATGGACTGAAAGCACAAACTGACTCACGGCTTAGAGGGTTTTCTGTCTTTTGAAAAAACCGGATCTTTCTTCTTCTTGGAAATGGGCCGTTGTTGGAAATGTGGCTCACGTGGGAAATAGTCGGAGGTGGAGAAATTGGCTAGGCGGGAGACATTGACTGGAGTAATTGCCAAATTTCCGTCTTGGGTAAAATGAGAGAGGAGTTGTGCTCTGTATATAGGGAGCCCCTGAGAACATATAAAATAGAGGAATAGGTGGGTATTTTTTTTTACAATATTTTACTCACATGAATCCTATCTATATACCTATGTAAGTATTCCAGAGGGGTTCCTATGCACAAATGGAAAAACTCATCAGAGAAATGATGGTTCGACAATTTGGGGTTCAATTTGTCTCCAAAATCGGTTTTCTAATTTCATTTTCCTCCAATCGCCTTTTTGTTTTTTCATTATTGCCACGTCAGCCATTAATATTTACTCTGTAAACCACCTGGCAAACTAACCTTGTCCGTTTAGCTTTTTCACATTACTAGTCGCTATCACGTGCGTTGTATGAATTTTGTATTTATCGTATTTTTATTAGTGTATGAATTTTAATTTTTTTGGAAAGTTTTTGAAGTAATATCTAAAAATATTTCCATGATATAAGAAAATAATTGTAATTATTTTTACAATTGTATAGCGGTATGTTATTCAGAAAAAATATGCTCGTATATTTCATTCTTGAATAAGAAATATACAAACTATTTTGCTTATATTCTTTGATAGTGTTAATATAATTGAATTGAATGTGAAGATTATATTTCTCAATTTTGTGTAATTCAACAGGGAAAATTGCAGCCGAAATATCAAACCTTTCGTTTATTAGCAGACTTTGTCCAAACCTTTGATTTGTACCACCGTCAGTATTAAACTTTTAAAAAATATGCAGCTCAAGTTCGAAAAGACGATTTTCGTCTGTTTGACCACCAAATCCGTCAGTTGACTCTAGAAATTAAAAATTTAATAATTTGACCACATAAGACAAGGCTAAAATGGTCATTTTAACATTTTAATATAAAACAATAAAAAAAGGAAAAAGGAAAATTGGTCATCTCCTCCAACAACCCCGCCCCCATCCCCCAATCCCACCAAAACACAACACCACCCACCATCGCTTGCTACAACCACTCACCATCGCGTGCTACAAACATTCACCGTCGCGTGCTACAACTACTCACCACTTAAGGAAATAGTATCTTTCAAACCCCGATTTGCATCCCTTGAAAGCTTCTATAATTCATTTCCACCAAATCAAAACTTACAACGAACCTTGGAATTGGAAATAAGAAATTGCTCCTTTTCCAATTTCTAAATCTCCTCATTATTTTCCATTCATGTTCCATGTGGAACTTGAGTTAGATAATGGGAAGTTTTTACTTCAAATTTTTTATGAGTGGGAGTGGAGACAGTGATTTACGGGTGTGGTCGGACGGTGGTGGCACTATCGACGATGGGTGGCGGGTGGTATATGGCGAGACTGATTTTCCCCATTATTGGATAGGTGGTGATGAGAAGAAATACATACAGAGGTTGTATGTGTATATATAGGTTTAATTAATTAATTTATATTAAAATAGTAAAATGACCATTTTAACTTTGTCTTATGTGTTCAAATTATTAAATTTTTAATTTCTGAATTTTTAATTTCTGGGGTCAACTGACGGATTTTGGGGCCAAACAGACGGAAACCGTCATTTTGGACTTGAGCAGCATATTTTTTAAAGGTTTGGTACTCACGGTGGTACAAATCAAAGGTTTGGGCAAAGTCTGCTAATAAACGAAATGTTTGGTACTTCTGTTGCAATTTTCCCAATTCAATATTGTAAAATTGAAAAAAAAAATTCTTCTCACAGTGCGGAGAGAGTTGAACCAAGGGCGGAGTAAAAATAAAAAAATAAAAAAAGGTGCGGAGAAAAAAAAATATTTCCGCACAGTGCAGAGAGTTGACAAAATTTTCGCACAGTGCGGAGTAAAAAAAAAATCTCTCCACACAGTGCAAAAAGATGACAAACCAACTCTCCACACAGTATGAAGAGAAAAAAAACTCTCTGCACTGTGCAGAGAGAGTTAATTTCTTCGCACATTGTGGAGAGTTGGTCTGCACCATGACAAAACTCTTCACACAGTGTGAAGAGGAAAAAACTCTCCGCACAGTACGTAGAGGGTTGAACCATGTGCGGAGTAAAAAAAAGTATGGAGAGAAAAACCTCTTCGCACAGTGCGGAGAGAGTTGAACCATGTGTGGAGAGTTGACAAACTCTTTGCACAGTGTGGAGTAAAAAAAACTCTCCACACAGTGCAGAGAGATGACAAATCAGCTTTCTGCACAGTACAAAGAAAAAAACTCTCCACACAGTGTGGAGAGTTGTTTTTAAATTCCTTAATTACAGGTCAACTTTCAAGATTGTAAATTTTTCGTATATACAACGAAATAGAGCTGAAAAATATGGCTCAAAATCAATTATGTCTTCTTTAAATTCCAGTCACAGCTCAATTTCTGAACATACAAATCATATTTACGGTATTGGAAATGAGTTTTCTCGTGATTCATACAATGAAACAATATGTGAGTTGTGCCAAGAAAGGGATATTGATAGTACCATAGCATTGATTTCACAAATGGAGGCTCTAGGGTACCACATAAATTCAATAGTTTACACTTGCTTGATAACAGCTCTTAGACATTAGAAGCGGATACAATTTCCAATGAAATTATACTTTCGGGTTGTAGGTCAGGAATTAAAGTGTTCAATGCATTATTCAAAAGTTGTTTGAGAAAATGACTCTTGAAACTTGCAGATAAAGTCCCGAGAGTTTTTGTTTTTCTCTTCACACTGTGCGAAGATATAGTTTGTCATCTCTCTGCACTTTGCGGAGTCTTTTTTTTGCTCATGTGTGGATATTTTTTTTTCTTTTTTCTCTCATAGAGTTTATATATACTAAAATTATTATTATTTTTTTATGTTGTTGGCATGACGCGTGTGTGAAGAATATTTGTCAATCAGCATAAACAGTTTTTTTCACAAAATGCAAAAAATAAAAATACATAATAAATCTTCTTATTACGCTAATAAAATTACAATAAATTTTTTTTACAAATAACATAAAAAATCATTTTTATCTTCAACAAAAAAAATATATTTAAAAATTAGTAATTTCATAACCACTTTTTTTTTTAATTCTCGAAAATACAATTATAAAAAAGGAAACAATATTGAATTACAACATTTAATACTTAAAAAATTTAATATTAAATAAATTTTATATATTTATAACAAATTATAAATCCATATATACAGTTTACCGTATTTACGGACAGCTTACTGTATATACAGCTTACTATATATGCTGCCTACCGTATTTGCAACTTATCGTATTTGTAGCCTATCGTATTTGCAAACAACTTACCGTATTAGCAAACAACTTATTGTATTTTCACCTTACCGTATTTGCAGCTTACCGTATATGTTGCATACCATATTTGTAACTTATTATATATGTTGCCTACCGTATTTGTAGTTTACTGTATTTTTATATACCGATTTTTACACTTACAAATATCAAGAATGCAGAACACCGTTTATTCACTTACTAAACCGAATTTCAGAAAAATTTCCAAATTTTTTTTTCAACATAAGCATAAAATAAAAATATTAAATATATATGAATCACAAAATATAAATGCATATGAATATGATGCTCAATTTTCAATTTTCCAATATTGAATTACACAAAATTTAGAAATATAATATTCAAATTTAACTCAATCATATCAACACTATCAAAGGCCCTGTCTGGCTGTGATTTTAAGCTGAATTTGGACCGTTGCTGATCAAAAATTGCACCGTTGGACAATTTTTTAATGGAAATATTCTGACATCTTTGCAGTACAACAACAGGCCATTTACTCTCATTTTTCCAATATTACCCCCGTCATTACACACTCTCAACT